GGCCTCCAGCTGGAATCAGGGGGTCACCTCCTCTTTACACCTGGGGGCCTCCTCCTCTTTACACCTGGGGGACTCCTCTTTACACCTGGGGGCCTCCTCCTCTTTACACCTTGGGTCCTCTGGCTGAAATCAGGGGGCCTCCAGTTGGATTTAGGGGCCAGGTTGTTTCCTTGAAATTCTTGAGGCACGTGCTCATGTTTTGGCAACTCGCAGAAAGACGAGGCATCATAATCAGGATTGTCCCGTCTCCTCAGAGAAAACTCACAGACGACACGATGAGTTCCTGACGAGTCAAGGAAACAACTTGGGCAGTTTTTTTTTTTTTCACAACAGCAACAACGAGCGTCTGGGTGAATACTTGAAAGGAAAGCTGAGACGGCGGTAAAAGAACAAAACCAAATTCCAGAGTAAAGACACACGAGCAAAGCCTCACGTGGACTCGAGCAAATGTTGGGAGAGGAGAAAACATGCCTTGTGAATACGTGCGTGCTGCCAGATGTGGGGGGAGGGCTCACATGTTGCAAAAAAACACACAAAAGTTAGAAAATGTCTGGAATTCAGAAGCGTCTCGTCCTCTGCTTGTCCAAACAAATCTCGAGCAGCTTGTGTGTAAAGAGGAAGTCACATGCGTCTTCAAGAGAGGAATCCTAAATATACACTTAAAACATAAAATACGGTTTCATTATTCAAGATGCCGACCAACGACTATTAACTAAAGTTATTTATATCAGGAGAACGAGTGAACTTTGTTCTCACACTTTAATGGATGAGCAAAGAGTTTTGAAGACTCCAAAGTTCCTGCTCAATAATCCAGGTCAAACTCCAACAATGTTCAGTCAGGTTCTATTTATGCTGAGATGTTTCATCCTTCATCCAAAGGACTTCTTCAATCTGAGGAGCCACCAAACAAACTGACTCCCACAATTCACTTCAGTTCAGCTTATTTCTAAAGCTCCAAGTCACAACAGAAGTCGTCTCAGGGTCTGAACAGAAACATTCATGTATAAAATAATAATTGAACATTATTTATCTGAGGAGCAGCTTTGAGTTTAACTCCATCACTGAACTCTCATGTTGAACAAGCATGAAGGCGACAGTGGAAAGAAAAACTCCCTCATGAGGAAGAAACCTTTAGCAGAACCAGGATCAGGACTAGAGGACCATCTGCTTCGACCGGCTGGGTTTGGTAGGAACAGATACACAATGGCAGGTCAAGAATCACATGTTAAGATAGAAATAGTCTCAAATGAAAACTATTAAATTTTAACAAATAATTTAAGGAAATGAGGTCAGTTTGTCCTCTAGTAGTCTAAGTCTATAGCAGCAGAACAAGCCTAACTATAGGATTTATGAAAAAGGAAAGTCTTCAAACTGGACAATGTGTCAGCCTCATGGACAGAAACTGGAAGTTGGTTCCACAAGAGAGGAGCCTGAGAACTGAAAGATCTTCCTCCCATTCTGCTTCTAGAAACTCTAGGAACCACAAGTAAACCTGCAGTCTGAGAGAAAAGTGCTCTGTTAAGAACATATGGAACAAAAAGATATGTAATATAAGATGCACCGATGTTGTTGAGAGCTTTGTAAAACTTACAAACAGCACACTCCTACAGCACACTCCTACAGCATACTCCTACAGCACACTCCTACA